TTGTGGGCTAGACTAACAAAACATTAAAATGCAACAACGTCACTTACCACATCCACTGATGACACACACCTAACATTTGATTAAACATTTGCATTTGAATGCAAAAATGGTACATTTTAAATTAGACTAATATTCAATCCTGAACTGGCTGATTTTCATGTTCATACATTCAATTTCTGATGGTTTTGCTCTTCCTGCTCTGCACTGCGCTAAAGCCCCTTATCGCTGCTTGCAGCTATATTTATTATTATTATTATATATATATTTTTCTTCCCTAATGGGAGTCTATGGCAGCCCTATGAACGGAACATAGGAAAATGATGAAAATTGGCACACTTGTAGTGATAGTGATGAATAGTGATCTGACCAAGGCATGCTAGGCGTTTTCATCCAAGGAGCATAGCAAGAGACAATATAAATGCGATGTCGACGAGTACATGTGGCCAAATGTTGAAAATCATATAGATTAGAACTGTACTCATTTCTGTTAATTTTTTGTCTGTCATTTTGTTTTACTTTTGCAATTTTTTAGAACCAAAGGGCAAAGGGCTGTGTGTTTTTTTTATGATCACTGACAGCAATTTCATTGTGCCAATAAAGCCTTACTTTTGACCGAATGACTCGATTTTGAATTGGGTTTGCTGTGGTATAAAAAAAGGTATGTAGAGTTTGTATGTATTTAACAAAATGTGGTTTTAGTCTGAAAAGTTCTGCAAGTGAACGGCACATTAGTGTGCCATCTCAAAGAGGCACAAAATCACTTTCACAGACTTTTACATGAACTGTTCCCTCCTGGTGGAATGACCTGCCCAACTCAATCCCAGCAGCTGAGTCCTTAACGATCTTCAAGAAAAGGCTAAAAACATAAATTTTCTATTTTTTGACACTCTAACTCTCTATTCTAATTATATTTGATGTATTTGTTTTCTTTTTTTTATTAAAAAAGCCCTCTAAAACTTGCACTCTCTATTTGTTTTTTAACTGCTTGTTTTCTTTAAAAAAAAAAGCCTCTAACACTAGCTTTCTCTATTCTTTTTCTATTCTATCTACTTTTCTTTCTTTTTTTATTGTACAAAAAACATTGCCATGTGTTAGCATTAGGCTAACCGAGACTTGTCATAGCACTTGCATATTATAGCTCTTTTGTTGGTTTTGATTGCTTCTGTTGTCCTCATTTGTAAGTCGCTTTGGATAAAAGCATCTGCTAAATGACTAAATGTGAATGTGAAATTAACTATTTGGCTAATTGTGTGATGTAGGTGTGTTGCTTTGTTAAGAGTTTAAAAAAAGTTCTTTAAGTATTGGTAAACACTTGTTAGCAATTAAAAAAAAAAATTAATTATTGCAAATTTTTATTATTATTTACATTCACTGTATCTTACAATCTTACATATATTTTCTCCCATGCAGTGTTGCCAGACGTACGACAATTATCGTATTTGTACCATAATATTGACCTCTGTACGATGTACGATCAATAATACCATAATGTACGATAATTTCTAAATTTTGTGACACCAAATGATAGTCGTTGTAATCATAGGGCTTCTATACTCCTTGATCTAGCTGTGTGGATCCTACTGTACGTGCACCTTCATGATTGTGAGGAGACTTGGACGTGTTACGCATAGTGGTCGACCGATATGGGTTTTTTGACTACCGATGCCGATATCTTGTAAAGCAGGGTGGCCAATGGCCGATATAAAGCCGATATAATTTTATTTATTTTCATTCATATTTAAGAAATTT